GGGCGATCATGGGACCCTGAGGAGGCCACCTGAGGGGTACAGGGCCTACTCCTCCAGGCTCCAATAATCCAGGGTTGGGGCTCAGAGGTGGGCAGCCGTCCTCACAGCAAAGAGGAGCAACAGGGTGCAAATTCGGGCAGAGGAAGAGAGTAGCGTGGGCAATGGGGCCTGGGGGGACAAAGCAGGCCCCCCGGAGAGAGGAGGGCAGCGTGGTCTGAGCAGAGGACAGCCTGCTTAGTGGGGACAAGCGGGGCCGCATGCAGGGGGAGGACAGCAATGCGGTCTCTGATGGAGGGGAGAGAGGATGAGACCAGGCTGCGGGTGCAGGCAGGGGATAAGAGCACGGGCCCGTGGCCCAAGGAGAGAAGCTGGGCCTAACGCATGGGGTGGGGGCAGGGTCTGTGGCAGGAATGGTGGCGTGCCGGGGGCAGGACCATTGGCAGGAGTTCCCTGGCCTGAAGCCCAGACGCCTGAGTCAGTTCTAAGCCCTGACTCCTGGGGGCACTGAGAGCCCGAGAGATGTTTATCCACCCCAGCACGGGGTAAAATGCCTCCTCTAGGGAGTGACAGGCAGCCTGGCTGCGCTTCCCTGGGTCACTGAAGTCTCCTGAGAGGTGCAATGAATAAGGGGCCTGGCGAGGGGCGAGAGCAGCCAGAGCCAGGGGTGCAGTGGGCACGGCCGGGCCGGAGTTTCCTCCCGCAGATAACGGATGGGATGAGTCATGGGCGAGCGCCAGGCTCTCTCGGGAGGTCGCTCAGAAACCAGCTCATCCGAATGCAGACAGCCACTCGTCCCCATCCCTGTCCCCGTGGCTGTCACCCGCGCACACACATTCCCCTCCCCCCTTCTCCCCTCTCTTTCATCACCCACCTCCAGTGCCCCCGGCTCCTCCCTCCATCTCAACCCCAACTGCCTGCCCCTGTTCCTGCCCACCCTCGGGTGGCCCACTGGCACCACCCCACAGCTGGCTGCATGGCGAGTGGAGCAGGTGGGGAGACGGGGGAATGGAGGGGACCCACCAACAGAGAAAGTCAAGTCGAGAAGGGTCTGAGAGAGGAGCAGACAAGGGACGGAGACCATGAACTCGCTCCCCCTGAAATCTTCGAGGACAGGGGAGGGTTCTTGAGTCACTGAGGTGGAAGAGGAGCCCTAATGACCTCTGGAGGGGCCCTCGTCGGGGGGCTTCTGCCTGTCACCTTCACTCTCGGCCCCTCTGCCAGGACCGAGCAGCAGTGGTCTGGATGCCCCGCTGACACCCCCAGGCCTCACCCTATGCCAGGGCCCTAAGCTAGGCTCAGGCCTCCAGCCACGGCAAGGGCTCAGGCAACCACTGTGCCCCACCAACCTGTCCCTCACCATGGTGGGTCATCGTGGTGATGACCAGGCTAGAGCTCGGGAACGACAGAGAGTTCAGTGTATAAGGGCAGCCCCATGCCTGCACTGTGGAGTTGAACCATGACTATGCCATAATCCGTGCCTGGAGGGGCATCCGGTCAAGTGGGGCAGAGGGGTCCCTTCAGCACACACACACACACACACACCCGCTTCACTGGACGCCCCAGTGAAAGGGAGAGGGAGGCTGGCGTGTGGCCACAGGTATGTGGTGAGTTACCCAAACTCCGTGTGCCACAGGTGGAGGGATGGAAGACACCAGCGTAATCCAAACCCCATGCAGCAAACAAGTCTTAGAGGGCTGCAGCCTCTGAGGCCCCCAAACAGGCAGGTAGGCTGGGATTACACACTGGGCCTAGGGCAGGGTTATCTAGTCCCGAGTGATCCCAAATATCTCCTCCTCCTCCTGGGAGAAATCCAGCCCCCACACCTACGCCGGGCCGGTAGTTCTCAGTCAGATGTCCCACCCAGAAGCGGCGCCTGCCTCCCAGCCCCCGCCTAGCCCCACCCAGAACAGAGCATGCAGGGGTGAGGGTCCAGCTGCCCCCACCAGCCCCAGGTCAGTCCTCACTCAAGTGGGGCCCTCCTTGGCTCAGAAAGCCCCCTCCCTCCTGGCTCCAGAGCCCGGGTCAGGGACAACAGCCACAGGTCCCTGCGGGTCACACAGTCAACCCTGGACCAGCTCGGGGGACGTTCACTCGCGGTGCCTCCCCCAGCACTCCCCGCCTGCCCCTCCTGGGAGGCTCCTAACCCTCACCTGAGCTGTTTGCCCTTTCCAGGGTCAGGTCCTCTCTCACCCTCCTCCCAAGGGCACAAGAGACGCAGGTGAGACCTCAGCCTAACTCGCTGCCCCTACGCCAGGTCCCGGCCCAGCCCGCGCCCCTGGGGCCGCCTGCCCTTCCTGGCGCGGTTCCTTACCTGTCTCAGGTGAGCTGGGCTCTGCCCGCCACCCGCTCCCGACTCGGGGCGCCCCCCCACGCCGCAGCACCCTACCTGAAGCAGTCGTCGCCTGCTCTCGGCGCGCGCCGAAGCCCCGGGCT